TTAAGGGAAAGCATTACCATCTCCCTCCTAAAATCTGCAAGCTGACACCAGAAATAAAAAGAGGATCATTTAGGAGGCAAACCTTTGTAAACCATGTTACTATACCCTAAATGATGATCCAACGAAATTAAGACAACTACCAATTCATTAACACTGGGAAAATCCTTACTTAAAAACACTCCTAACCATGAGTTTATTAGCAACAAAACAACCATAACCAATCTGCAGGCACAAAACTCCAGCATCAGGATTGACACAACGCCTCTTACAGTCATGGATAAAAGCATTAAGATGCTAGAAAGGCAAGAGGTCTTTTACTATTTCTAATAAAACCAAGCCATATAACTCCCAATAAAAACACAAAGCTGCACCCACGAGGCACACTGGCGTTTTCAATTTCATTTATTTCCTTTCACAGTGTGTAGAATTCAGGATCTCATGTAGCTGGGACTACATGCTTACCTGCTTAAACCAGTCATGCTTAACTTTGGGTGTGCACAGGCCAAGCACCTCACTCTGGAAGTGCCATTCCCTGCAACTAGGCTTGCTCCATGCAAGTGTAGTCTAAATGGATCTACACTCTGCTGTGCAAATAGCAAAATAAAATCAGTTTCATGCAATCCTAATTCAGCTGCTCTCGAGGCAAACTGCACTGGTGTTCCCTCCCTGGACTGGAAATGGGCACCCCACACGAGCAGGTGGCACCTAGTTCATTTCCCTGAAACTTGACAGGAGCTTGTACTGAACAGCTTTAAAACCAAATAAAACACACACACATAGCTGAATTTGCCATAGCTTAAAGAAACTCTTGTCCCTTCCAAAACTATCATCTTATGTCAGGCACCAGTATGTTAGTAACCAGCCCAGCCACAAAACACAAGGCCTGAAAATTCTCTAGGGATGGAGAAAAAATAGGTGAAAGGGCAGGCCATTCGATTTGTCCTGGGGTTGCTGACACAGGCCACAAAGCTCAAGCAGAAAAGTCCTGTCCTTTTAACACTCCACCCCTGAAGATTTCTGTGGGGCCTCTTGTAAAACTGTTATGAACACAAATGGAACGAGCATTCCTGTAGGCTGAACAGGATGTCTTGCATGAATAGAACAGACCTGACTTTCAAAGATTAATAATTTAGAGAAAATGTCAATGCTCAAAATGTGATTAAAATCATGCATGAGGCCATAAGTATGCACAAGCACATTTCCACACAGTCACATTTTATTCCTCTTCAACCACAGACAGAGTAATAGCACTTATTAAATTATAATAAGACTTTAAAAGAGAGCAAGTATCTCAAAAGATACAATGGGAAGAATTAATAGTGTGTAGAGATGTTTCCCTGAATATCCTGGGTACTGCTGTAGGTGTGTGAATATTGCTGATCCCATTAACAAAAATATCTGCCTTCTTATTGACTGCTTTATACATAATCCTCCCTCCTTTACTGTTCAGAAAAAAAAGTGAGACAATAATTTCTGTTATGACTACAATCTACCTAACTTCTCTTCAGTTTTAGCAGCTGCTATGGAAGAATAGCTGGCACAGCAGCTTTTCAAAGCTGATCCTTAGAAGGGCCAACTGCTAGGAAACTTCCCCCAATTTAAAAACAAAACAAAAAAGTCTTTGAACTGTGACAGGTTTTAGGTTTCTTGTTAGCTCACCAATTGATAAAATGCCTGTACCTGTCCCTGCTCAAATATGGTTGCTTTCTCAGTGAGTCAGTGACTGTTCCTGTATGGATGGTGTTCCAATAGAATTCCTTAAAAAAGGAATACCTGCAACACCTGATTGCAACCAAGCAACTGTTCTGAATACAAAGCAGGAAAGGTCCATATGGAGTACCTGAGGATGCACCCTATAGCTACTGGAAGTAAGAAATTGAATGAGAACTAATCTTAGCTTTCACTGCTGCATTGCAGGGGCAGCAGTGGAGGCTAATTTCAGCCACCTAGAATCCTTAATGGACAAAAAGCCAGAAGAGTGGAGGTATTTTTAGGATAATTTATCAGAAATACGAACAATTTTTAGATGTACCAAATGTGGTCATAAGCAACAATTTAAACCCGTTTTAATAAATGTTTTAAATTGTATTTACCTCCACGCTTTTTGGGAGCTTCAGGTTTCATTTTAACGGTATTTCTGCTTCTAAATTCAGGCCCTTTAAAATCATCTTTGTCTTCATTCAGCACTGGCTCAGGCTGTACAACCACTGTACCTAGAATAATTTTATTTAGAAATTGGAAACCATTACACATCCAAATGAAGTGCAAAAGTCCTGTTTAAATCAAAGCCAACATAATATCTTCAAAAATAAGTGCAATCTGTTGACTAAAACTCAAAAGTTTCGAACGCACAGATGTTCACAGGAGCAAAAAACCAAAACACAAACAAAAAAACTCCACCACACACTACACACTACACACTACATCTGTTTTGGAGTTGTAGGACAAAAGCTGAAGACAGGATGGGCTACAAGGAGCAAACTCTGCTCTGTCTGCCCTGATGTGGCACGTGCAGAACAGGACTGTCAGATGGCTGGGGGTGTGTAGCACAGGATTTTGTAGTGCAATGTTACAAATAAAGAACTCTGGGTAGGCCACATATCTATCAAAAGCCTCTGAGTAACTACTCTTTTCTCTCTCTTTTTTCCCCTTCTATCCAGTCTCCCTCAATTTATTTCAGCATGAACTAACTGCAAAAATCAATTTAAAAAAAAAACACTTTTGTTTTTAACGGAATTAAATTCACTTTTTTATCTAAACAGATAAGAGCACTAATCAAAATTTCACAAATGAAAAACCATCTTTCCTACTTAAGAGCTCAGTTTTCATACTTTCTTGTTTGTGAGGACACTGGAAATACTCTAACATTCTGAAAAAATAATTTTAAAGTGACTGCTTTAAACACTGCTACTCATATGGTAAACAGTAGCTGCCCCTCCAATTTTTCCCTCTAACTTTCACAGGTAAGAAATAAAGTTTAATCTAAGTCTTTAAACGAAAATTATAGATAAGAGCAGGATGTGGGCTTATAGTACTAACTGTTTTAGAAGGGTGCTTAAAAACAGAGCCAATAACGACATTTCCCCCAGATTTATTTTTGCCAATCTAATTGTTAATAACCTCAGAGACAGAACAATAAATAAAGATGACATGAAAGTGTCAGAGTCTGAGAATTCTACAAAAGAACAGAAATAATGACTTTCCCTGTTTCATGTTGGTTTTACACAGATGTCAGCAGAAATTTGAAACTGTCAGCAGCACATCCTGGGCTATCTCCAGATTTGAGTATGTTGGGTTCAAACCTAAAGGTGTTTGGTTTCCTCTCTCAAATGCATGTGCACAAGGGATGTGTGTGACTGTGCACCAGAATGTATGTTTATATCTAAAAGCCAACAGGACCTAAAACAGGCATTTTACTAATATTTGTGCATTCTAGTTAATTATTTATGCTACATCATATCTAGGCTGATTTGCTGAATTCAGAAACAAAGATATGAACTACCTTTAGGCAAGCTTTGCATATCAACATCATTTTCTGAGTTTTCATTTGAAATATCTTCATTTACAGTTTCATCTAAGGTTTGTTCATCGTCTGATCCGACATATTTTGTTACAACTGTAGGTTTCCTGCACAGACAGGAGAAAAAAAACCACATACCATGACACATTACGTACTGCAATACAGGCAGGCCTAGTGCTTTGCAAGCAAAACACCACACTGCAATTGAGGAAACATGTTCTTTTCAAGTTTAAGACATTATGAGGTGGGATGCTCTGAGTTGTTACAACAAATAAATTGTAGGCTAATTTTCTTGCTAGGAACAGGAATTCTCCCTTCCTATGTGAAATAAAAAGATACACTAATAAACTTCTTTTTTTCCCCACAGGTTTGCTGTATTTTTTTTCTGAAATGAAGGTCTGATGTGTTTTTATGAAGGTATGTGGGAAAATTATACTTCTGGGAAAAAAGCCTAAATGAAACAAGTGAATGTCTGATCAGAAATTTTACACATCATTCCAAGCTTAATAGGCAGCACAAAGAGAACACACAGATATTAGCAAATGACAAAAAGCAGCTTGGCAGAAAAGATATTTGCAAGGGAATAAAGGAAACACAGTAAGAAATTAAAAAGCTGACTCTGAGTATAAGGACCAGTTGCCAGAATTTCACACAAACATAATTTAGAATTGAATCCATTAAAATGAATTAATTTACTATGTCAGGGCAGGGAGTGGGGGAAAAAAAAAAAAAAAAAAAAACAAAACCACAGAGAATGTTGAGCATAATTTTCAGTAATCTGGAGGTAATACAAGAAGTACTGCAGGATACTGTTTTTGCCAGTACTGTGCACAGTATCATAAATCTATGAGTGAAAATACCTTTACTGATAGACAGGAAGCAAAAAAAAACCAAGACTATAAACAGTACAAATAAAGTTCAGTGCAACACTGGACTCAGAAGATAAAGGAGAAATTAAAGCCAACTCTAAAACCATACTTGTGAATATGGGATCAAGACAAACAGAAAAAAATGAAGAATAATTTTTTTTCAAAGAGCATGAAAAAATAAACCTGGACAAAACAGAGCGAAAAGAGATACACATTTTAAAAGAGCAATGAGAAGGCAGCTGTTGAAATCATGCATTTAGAAGAGATCACCTATATTTACAGTACACTAAGATTTAAAAAAAATCATGAAGGACATAAGCTGAATGAGCATCAGCTGAGAGCACAAGCTGAGAAGTTGTCCTAGAGCAAGTCTGCTGTTACCTAGGTCACAAATAACTTGTCTCCTGTAGGTTTGAACTGGTTGATAAAGTTAACCCCACAGGTTTTTAAATAAAAGAGCAAAAAGGGCTTAAGTAGAGATGAAGCAAATGGCAGTCTGTGCACAGGACAACTGCAAAGCACATTCTGACTGGACAGTTTCCCAGCAATAAGGGTCATAAAGCTTTTCTGTTGTATGACCCAATTTACATTTTAGGAAGAATCCTGCATGTGGAAATGGCAACAGTGAAGAAACAATTGTACACACACCTTTGTCCTTAAGATAGAAGATAACCTTGTTGTCTTTGTTAACAAAAATCAAGTGTTATGATCTTAACCATTTCACCCTGAAATATGGTTTGAATTTGAAGTGCACTATAAGGCATTTGTTCTCCTAGCACTCTACTAAGTTAATGGGTTTATACTGATGTACAGTAAAATTATTTGGCATAGCATATGGACTTTCTAGAGTTTCACATGCCAAAATGAATTTATTTTTCCAAACTAACCTTTTTGAACGTGACGATCCTAAGGATTTGGTTCTTTCTGAAGAACTACTACCCTGAAACCAAGAAAAAAAAAAAAGTCAATACATTTATGACTAAGCAACTTGTCAACAAAAACATTCTTACATTAAATAGAACACATCTCAGAAGTCATCAGCACTCATCAATTTAAAAAAAAAGGCAGGAAAAGCATTAACAAAAAGGGACACACAATTTCCAATAGTCACGCCAGTTCACTTAAACTAAATCTATGGAGTTTCAGATCAGGGGTAAAGCTTCAACAGTCATTATTATTTTAAAAACAGGTTTAAAAATAGGTGTCAGCAAACTCTAACCTCCTTATGTATGCATCTTAGCAGAAATTAAAGAGACATTCAGAGAGAAACACCACGCTTGTCTCAAGCACTGAGTCTTTACAAAATGGAGGAAATTCTCTCCTTGCAACTCTCAACTTGAACCACCTCCTGAATGACCTCTCAGCTTTCTGAAGGAAGGACCGAGAACAGCTTGTGATCACTGGTCAGCCCAGTCGTGAACAGTTTCTGGGGTTTTCTGCTCCATGTATCTTCACTGCACTGTTAAATTCCATGCTCAGCACACGGAAAACTGGCCTCCCTCACACCCCCACCTGCCTCCACATTGCTGAGCAGTTTCAGTTGTACAGTTCACCAGGGTTCCTCGCAGCTGCAGCAGCTTCTCCAGGTCTATGTATGTCTTTCACACCATGAAGAAACCATCACCTTTCCTGACATATGGATATGGAAGGTTCCTGAAGGCTGGCACTAGGAGCTATCACTAGCATGCCCCCAGGAACTGGCAGCAGAATGCAGACACTTTTTATGTGGATCATGCACCAGAAAACAACGACTGTCTTCACAGGAAAAGTAATTTTTCAAAGGTGTGTGCACATGTATCATAACTGGGTTTATCCAGTATCAAATAAATACCTGAGTTTCCTGCAATAAAGGCAAACTAAGGCAGGACACTGGCACTTGTGCTTTCTCTACATTCTAACATATTGTCAACCAGAATGCTTCCAACAGGACTGCAGACATCAGGAAGAGGTACCACATGACTCATGTCTGAGGTATGTAACACCACACAGAAGAAATCTGCTCATGTTTAATAAAGATCTTGTATCTCCATCTTTTTTCTTTTTAATAAAGGAAGAATATTTCCCTGTAAGGACAACTAAGTACCCATTGTTACCTGAATAACAGGGCTTAAGTGTAAATACAAGGCAGAAACCAATTCTTTTAAACCAAAGTCAAGTAAAAGCCTGTTTACACATAAGCCAAAGAACAGCATAAGTTTGAAGATTATTAACTGAATTTCTTTAAAAAGAAAAACTCACTTTGCAATATTCTCCATCTGAATCAATTAGCAAGACTCTGCATTTCGTAACAAAAATGCAACTGCAGATGTCAGGGAAGTAAAACTTAAACTCTCTAAATTGCATTGGAGACATTTTCCAGAGGAATTGTTGTGCAGCAGAAGGACAATGAAGCTGTCCAAGTACATCTGTGTATTTCAGTAATTTAGAAAAAAAGAAGGGGGAGGTGTAGAAACAAGATTGTTTGCATATGCCTAAATCAAAGTATCATTTAAAATTTAATTTAAAACCTATTTTAAGATATTTTACAGCTCGTGTTCCTATTCAGCAGATGTGATGACATTTACATGGTTCTGACAACATTCTTTCAGCAGTTATTGTGAAAGCAACAAAGTGAGCTCAGCATTTCCTATAGCAGCCATTCTGCACTAGGCATGCAACATTCAAAAGCATCTTTTTTCCTACCTCTTCTCTACTGTTCTCCATTGAAGCTGGACTACTTTTAGGTTCTCTACTTTTACCTATGGAGAGAAATTAAAAAAGAATCCACTGAAAAGCAAGAAATATTAGAGGTCCTTCACACTGTAAGTCATGGCATTGTTTATGTTTCACCTCCCCGAGAAAAGATGACACTGTGACTTTCAAAGACAAACTGTTGCACAACAAAACACAGTCTGCTGCATGGTGTAAGCTTTACAGAAAACACTTAGAAAAGACTTTCAGTGAAGGTGCTGATAGGCTGAAAGGCAGCCTTCCCATTGGTGAAGCAATACCCAAGAAATGAAAGTGCAACTATATCTGCAGAAATAAAACAGCTAGTGTATTTTTCTGATCTCTAACAAGCTAATTTAACTATTTTCTCTTGATATTATAACACAGGATTAAATACAGACCATGGAACCACAGACAAAAATCCCATTTGACATAGGATATGACAGAGAATTCCCATTTCTACATCTTGGGAATGGTGGAATAGAAAGTTTGAAGATGTGACCTATTAGTACTGTTCCATCCAGCAGTGCAGGTAACAGAGGGTTTCAAGCTCAGTGACTCAGTGATACTTGTGTGAAGTTGCTCAGAAGGCTTGGTAATAGCAGTATCTTCATAGATGCACTACTGAGAAACACGCAAGTAAAGTAGTAGTATAATTACAGGATATGCCTCACAAACATTTGTGATTTTAACCTACAACTGCTGTCATTGTAACCTCCTATATCCTCACACTTCAATTTTTAGGAAAAACGAACAATTTTCCTTTACACTTTAAAAAAAATATCACTTTGATGAGAAAATTTAATGCTGGGTATTTGACCTAGGTTGAATTGTTCGGGTAAATTTAAGCGAAAATTATCCAGCCATTTCTGTACATGAAGCTAAGGTAGGAGGGGAATAAAAAAATGGAAACAGATTAAGTTTTTGGCAATTAAGTACCTGAAATTTCTTCTCTAGAACATTACAGGCACACCCCTATTCTGAGGAAAGAACTTGAAATTTGGAAGAAGGGTGACATTTCTTCTGGAGACTAGACACTGCTCACGTTCTGCTCTTGGCCAATTTTGTTCAAGTGATAAATCCATGGAAAACACCAGTTTGGACATGCTGGGCAGAGATTTCTTTGATTCTGGCAGCTACAATCTCTGTAGCTTCTGCATCCAGACCACACACACACACACAACTCCCAACGTAACACGCTCGACTGGCAGCTTCTAGGGGGGGTGTGATTGTCCCCAGAGAGTGACTGAGTGTGCTGCACCCCCTGCCAGCTCCTCGCCCTGGCTCTGCCCCGGGGCTGGGAGCACACAGCATTTCCCCTGCGACTGCTGTACTTGAGGCAAGAGCAGGAAGTCAAAGTCTCTCCTACGCTCTCAGTGGTTCTCCTGCTGGCACCCACACAATGTAGAGGAGGGAGACAACCAATTTAACACAGAGAGGATAAAGAAACGTTATTAAGGTTGTAAAATTAAGAACTCTAATATTAAGAAAAGCCAGAATTAAAGCTGCTGCTGCAATTCCACTTTCCTTGCGGTCCCTAGCACGTGAGCATCCCAGCACAGGTCAGCTCCACAGAAGTACATGAGATGGAACTGCTCAGCAAGAAAACACTTCAGATTTTAATTAACTTCTGTGTGTGGCAGGGACGTGCTCCAACTTTCTGGAGCCACACCTTCATCACCACCTCCCTCCTCACTCCATGTAGCTCACATACCCTCCAAATGCTGGAACAAACCCAGTTCCATTAGTATGTAAAACCTGATTTGGCCCCAGTCGTGTCTACCACCTGTATACTGAATGAGCATCCTGTGGATTAAAATAAAAAAAAAAACACCACTGCTGAAGACACTGTCTTTATACACAAAGTTGGAAGGGGAACTAAATCTGCACATTTTAATTTGTGCAGCACATCTGCACAAATACATCTGGCATTTCCTAATATTTAAGTGTTTAATTCTTGACTTGTCAACTTTAATATGTTCTTCATTAAGAAATAAAATCTGAGATATCAAAACTAATCCTGAAACATGTCTGCTATTAATTAATGTGTCCCCCTGCTCCAAAGTAAATCTGTATTTTAAGGCTCCGAGCCAAATTCTACCTCAGAACTACAGAGGGTAAAGAGAAAAGATTATTTATCCCCAGCATGCTCCTCAGCAAAATTTCACTTTGAGATGCATCTACATCACAGTTCAATTTATTATTCTGCTGAAGTACCACATAAATAATTTCTTTTTCCTACGTTAATAGTTTAGTTTGATGCTGACAAAAGGAGGGTAGTGCCACATGGCAGCAGACTCTCAAGACAAAACATTAGAAGATAATAACTGCACACCAGAAAGCCTACGTAAGTTTATAACAGGACAAGAGGTGTTTGACAATAAACTCCAAAACACAGCCAACACACTTTCATTCTCCTGTACTATCACCTCAGCAGAAATTTTAGCTCATTAAAACCAATACATATTGGAAGGTCTGCACCTGTACCCACTAGGAAACAGATTTAAGCTAGTTAAATTTTGAAATAAATTTTATTTAGTACCATTACAAAATTATTTCACTTTTTATGACTGTAGTCAAAACAAAGCATTTAAAATCTATTACCTGTTTCTAACTTGTAAGTAAAAATTTCCAATACCAAATGTGAAAAATCCTTAGTCCTACACCAAGTCACAAGTATCATTTTCAAATGCTTCCAGTACATATTGGAAGGTCTGCACCTGTATCCACTAGGAAACAGATTTAAGCTAGTTAAATTTTGAAATAAATTTTATTTAGTACCATTACAAAATTATTTCACTTTTTATGACTGTAGTCAAAACAAAGCATTTAAAATCTATTACCTGTGTCTAACTTGTAAGTAAAAATTTCCCATACCAAATGTGACTTGGTATAGGACTAAGGGTTTTTCACAAGTATCATTTTCAACTGCTTCCAGGTTATATTTTCAACTAAATATGAAAGCACAATCTCCAGAACTTCTTCCACAACTACAGGGACTGCAAAAGCTTTACTTCAGCAGAAAAAAATGAAGGTACTGCACTTACACATTCAGGAACAGTGAACAAAGCAAACACATGCCTGTTGCCCTCTCATGTTTCACAGGAGATACACTACCAGTAAGATTAGTTTTCCTTCACATTTAGAAAGGATTCAGACTGGAAGAGGTATTATATCAAAGGCCTATTGTGCATTTATTACAATATCATCAATTAAACCCCATTAGGGCTTGGCATAACTGCCCCAGTGAAATGCAGTATAGTGAAATAACGCCACAAAGTTATTTGACTTTATAACTCTATGTATGTTGAAAATAAAAACATAAAATGTGTTTTTACCTATAGTTTTGGTTTTAGATAGTGCTGGAGGAGAGTTTGCGTCCTCGGATTCTTCCGATGAGTGAGCCAGGAAGTCATGAAGTTTCTGCACCAATGTATTCAACTTGCTTTCACTGTTAAAATACAAGTAAAACCTGAAGTTACCTATATATATACACACACACGTCTCACTATAAGTTAGCAAGCTTGAAAGACATTATGTTTAATCTCAATTAATGCACATCTATAAAAGAAACTCAAGTCACTGCTTAAACATTTGTTTCTGCAAGAGAATATCAAAGTAAATAAAAAACCATACAAGTTTGTCACACCCTGAGTAAAATAACAGGTGCACTCATTGACAGAAAAGCACTAAGGACTCTGTTAACAGCAATAATGAAAAGCATATTTTAAATAGTTTTACCAGTTTAAAATTATGGAGAAAAATCAAGAAAGTCCAAGTGATAACATGATGCTGTGATCTAAAGATAGTGAAAAATGGACTGAAGATTTTTACTTTGTCAGAAGCTGAATGGGTCAAAATAATACAATCGTTACTTTATTACCAAAAATGTCACCTTTGGGGATATATACCACTAAAAAGAAGAGCAGAATTTCACCTACAACCTTAGAAATAAGCAGGTCCATTGAGTATGACAGATGTACGTGCTTATGCAAAGCTTGTATTAAATCAGACACGTACATATACACGATATGTCCTATATTAATTCTGTCAAAAAACAGCAGTGATCATATAATTTTTTCATCAACTTGTATGAGTATTCATTATGAATTTATTTTAAATTATTACCCTAGGAATTTTCACTAGGCAGTTTCAGACATTAGGAACTGTTAGTCTTGTGTGTGTGTGTATATATATATACTCATATAAAATACAATATTACTTATCACAGTAAAAAGGCAACACCTTTAGTCTGCTCTTTTGTTCTAAAGCTGTATCACTTCATCATCCCTGTTATTCCCTCTCATTTCACACTGTCCATTTCAGGTTCTCTCCTCCCACAGCCTCCACAAGTGCCTTTTCCTGGGTGCCAGCACAGCAGCAGCAGCAGCCCAGGGCAGTCCCCTGGCAGAGCCCCTCACTCCCGGCGGTCTGTCACCACTTCCCTCGGGGACACTATCACTCCTCCAGAAGCTGCCAGCTGACATGTCTGAGCCACCACGGACATGACCTGCTACAAGGAACACAGCTTTTCAAACCGCTGCCTTACACCATCCCCTTCAGAAACTAACCCCGTGACAGGACACAGGCTTCCTTCCTTTTCACTTCTTATCCCCTCGTTGCTTTCTAATTAGTATTCTGATAGCAAGAAGAAATAAGGTTTTCTGTTTTATAGGTTGTAGGAACTTTTAAATATTTTTCATAAGCTCAAGCCTCTCACCTTTATCATTCTGCTATTTGTCCAAATACATCAATTTATTAAATTCTTTCAATTTAACTGTTATTGCAAATAAAATAAAATCACCCATTTCATAGGGACACGCAGGTAAGCACTCTCTTGAGGGATGAGAGAAATGTTATCATTACATTAATTCACATGACTCTTTAAACCAGGGAAAATAACCACATATAAACCAGTGTAAAACATCCATTTAAAAAAATTAAATCTGCAATTTCTTTAAACCTTCTGAAGCACTCAAACTAAACCAAAACAGCACTTCGTAATGGAAAGATTTTCTGTGTGAGTAAAGGACACGCTGCTTTTGAGGCTACATACATATCATCAGTCACTTGAGCAGCTTTAAAAGAGTGTGACAAAGCCTGTTTTACTCTTAAATGTATCTTTAAAAGTTTTCTCTCAATCTGTCTAAAACTCTTCCCTTCTAATTACTGGGCTCATGCTGCTACATAATGGCCAGTCCCTGAACTTGGGCTTCTCATGGGTGGAGGGCATATGTGGGACACACTACAGAATACAACAGCAGTACACTTCAGTATTAACAGACTGCATGTGCTACTTCAGAAAGGAGATTTCATGACAATTTGTTCACTTTAGGTTAAAAAAAAAATAAAAAGTTGTTCAGAATTATTTTATAGTAAAAGTACAGAAAGAGATTTTATATCCATTCCAGATGGTCCGGAGAACTAGTGCACATTTAGAAAGGACACAAAAAAAGTTCATTTTTAAACATTTAAACAAAAAAAGCCACAAGTGGAATTCTGCTCATTCCGTTTATAAATAACTTGTTTTGGTAACAGCATTTTAGAAAAGAAAATGGGAACTATAGATGAGTTATAATATTACTGTTCTCAATACAAAGCAAATTCAGAATAGTATATACATGGCTTTATGATGAACACTTGGAACATTATCTGTTATCATTTATTAACTCTCATCCTAACTAGACCAAAATTATAATTTTCAGAGCAAAATGTTCATGCTGACAAACAACCAAAAAAAACATCCCAAACTATTTCTAAAACACCTTCCCAATTTGCTTTTCCTCTTGATTATTCAGCATTTTGTACCATCAGCCTGTATCAAGGAATACCAGGTCAGATGTAAGTAAGGGTGTTACACTTACTATACTTCACCACAAAGAAATTTTAATTTAGGGCAACACTGTTCCTGGTTTTATACAAAAGTGATTTTATGTCATGCATTTATAGTTGAGACATTATATCATCTTTTTTAAAGCTTCTACTGCAAAATCCTTTTTCCTTGCAATACCTTAACAGACCCGTCCACTATAAAATTGATCACAACCTATAAAATGTGCATTTTTTAAAAAAACATAGTAGCCTGGAGATTTACAACCACCTCAGAAGCACAACATGAGGCAGAGAGTCTCCTTCTGCCCTACAGCAACAGTCTGGACACTATTTACCCATGTTTTCAGGCTTGCATTTTCTAAGCAAACAGCCTCACCATCAGTCTAGAACTATTTCAACACTGTTTAGCCTAATTAAAACCAGAATGAAAAGAAAGGTGTCCTACTATTAATGGTTTGGCCATGAACCTGATTTGTGACCTTGGGAAACTGTCTCATAAGAATATAATGTCTTACCTAAATTCAGAACAAGTGTCGTATGTAATCTTAAACAGCAAATGCCTGGCCCTTACTAGGAGGAAAAAAAAAAAAAGTACCCATTAGGCTGAATAATTCTACAAATCATAGAAAATGAAAGGAATTGAAGGGACAAGTAGTGTCTTAACAGAAACACAACTTATGTAATTCAATCTGGCTGTTGACTACGGTCTCCTCGTATGTCCTTACCTGGACTGGGTTTTCACAGCAAGGTTTTGGTAGCAGGGGGCTACAGGGGTGGCTTCTGGGAGAAGCTGCCAGAAGCTTCCCCCACATCCAACAGAGCCCATGCCAGCTGTCTCCAAGACAGACCTGCTGCTGGCCAAGGCTCAGCCCATCAGCAGTGGTGGCAGCACCTCTGGGACAATGTATTTAAGAAGGGGAAAAAACTGCTGTGCAACAACAGCTGGGAGAGAGGAGCGTGAGACCATGCGAGAGAAATAACTCTGCAGACACCAAGGACACCGAAGAAGGGGGAAGAAGGTGCTCCAAGCACCAGAGCAGATTCCCCTGCAGCCCATGGTGAAGCCCACGGTGAGGCAGACTGTCCCTTTGCAACCCATGGAGGTCCACAGTGGAGCAGAGACCCACAACAGCCCGTGGAAGAACCCACACTGGAGCAGGTGATGTGCCCAGAGGAAGCTGGGACCCTCTAGGGACCCACACTGGAGCAGTCAGCTCCTGAAGGTTTACTCCCCATGGAAGGGACCCACACTGAAGCAGTCTGTGAACAACTGCAGCCTGTGGGAAGGTTGCACGTTGGAGGTTCATGGAGGATTGTCTCCTGTGGGAGAGACTCCATGCTGGCACAGGGGAAGAGTATCAAAAGTCCTCCCCCTGAGGAGGAAGGAGCAGCAGAGACAACACGTGATAAACCACAACCCCCATTCCCCTGCAGCGCTCAGGCAGGAGGAGGCAGAGGAAAAAAAGGGAGTAAAGTTGCCCCTGAGAAGAAGGGAGGGATGCAGGAAAGGTGTTTTAAGACTTGGGTTTATTTCTCATTATCCTCCTCTGATTTGATTGCCAATAAATTATTTTTCCCCAAGTCAAGTCTGTTTTGCCCATGGCAGTTAAGTGGCGAGTGATCTCTCCCAGTCCTTATCTCAACCCAAGAGCCTTTCATATTTTTCGCTCCCCTATCTTGCTGAGGAGGGGAGTGACAGAGCAGCTTGGTGAGCACTGGGCATCCAGCCAGGGTCAACCCACCACATTACTTCATCACCTGTGTTAGCTAATGATTGAGCTGCTGCAAAATGACCCAAATCACCCAGGACAACAAAATTTTAAGGAACAGTTTCATTTGAATCCAACTTGACATACATTTACATGATCATGTTCTCCGATGGCAGGTGAGGGGCTCAAAACTCATAACCCAGGCAGGGGAAAGGAGGGCTGCCCATTTCAGCAGCACACACTGCATTATACTGTTAAACTGCACTGGAAAAAAAACTTGCTACTGTGCTAGTTTCCATCTACATTTTTCAGGAACCTCAAACCTGTAGATAGGGAACGTCCAAGTTCTTGGCAACATCTCGAAGAATAGTTCTTAAACTACACTTTCTTTAAACAAATTAATTTCTCATTCTTCCACAGGACCATACCACCATTTAGCCTAAGTAAGTGCCCTCATCTGAATGTCAAGTGGCTCCTGGAAGTCAGTGAAAGAAGAGTCTCTCCAGCTCCTCACCTAGCTCAATGTTGACAAATATGCTTTTGCAAAGTTCTTCCTAAGTACTCACCTTCCTCAAGGTCAACACTTGTCTAGGATTTTTCTCTGTTTAACCTTTTAAAATAATCCAAGGGTGTAAGTTTTTTATATTCATATTTACAGTTGTTTCAAGTTAAGTCCAAACCATCTTTCACTTTTGAAGATGAAATTAAATACTGCAGAACAACAACTACTAAGCAGACAAAATTAAACAATCCCTAAAAAAGTTAAGAAAAATAAAACCAGATGTGCTTTTTAAACTGCCAGTCTGTCGACTACCATTCTCTGCTTCAGATTGTACATCACCATCTTTTAAAATAACTGTTTTATGGTAAATAAAGCTGAAACTGATGCAATTTAATTGAATGTACAACTTCAAAACTGGTATCACACATCCTTTCCCTCACCCTCAAATGTATTAGTTTCCTTTCATATTACCTAAGCCTTGATTATAATCAGGCCAGTATTCTGTCACCTGCAAATCCTCAGAAATGTTTTTCCTGATGAGAAGGAAAAGTGCTAGACTTACCCTAATTCAAGGATTTCAGTTACAAGACCAAGCCTAAGCAGCCATTTCATACAGAACAGGCCCATACTGTGGCTGAACACAAATGAAATGGCTTAGAAACTGTTGGAAAGAGCAAAATATAATAAAACCTACAAGAGAGGTTGTTTACTTTCTTATCCCTCATCAGAAAAAGAATGGACACGTCTGCAATATTGTAAAAAGCCTACTTCTCCCAGAAAAAAAAATATAAAGTCACCCAACCATCATAATAGTTCAACAAATAATGTGGTTTTAGAAAGGTGAAGAAATGAACCACTTAACTTCTAACTCAGCAAGGGCTTTCCAAGCGCCAGGCTCCACGATACTGTACAGCCCCACTCAGGTCAGTATTCTGTAATCTGTTGATACTGATACACCAAGCACTGACACACAAACCCTGGCGCCCCGACACACAGACCTGGTGTCACCCACACTCAGCTCTCCCCGTTCTCCTCCGCTTCCGTGCAAGTATCTGTTGTGACCTACGCACAGAAACTGATCCACACGACAAGAAGACATCTCTTCTGCTGAATGGGGATTGTTTCCCTAGTCCCACTGCTGGTTGGTACAAATGCTTCTGTAAGCAGAGGTCATGACAGCCTGAGCAGGGGCAAAGGGACTTAAAATTAACTTCAGTGGCAGCAAAACACTACATGAGCTTCAACTATCACACCGCAGCAAAATCAGAATTGCTTCACCAAGACACACAGATCCGTTCAGGTTGGAAGGGACCTCTGGAGATCACTTAGTCCAGCCCCCCAGCACAAGCAGAGACAGCTACAGCAGCTCACCCAGAAACAGGTTCAGTTAGGTTCTGAGCACCTCCACGGGTTGACCTGTTCCAGGGTTTGACCATTCTCACAGTAAAAAAGTTCTCTCACATTTAGACAGAAATGTACCACGTTACACTTATTAAACCAGATACAGCCTGAGAACACCTGCATACCAAAGCCCTGGCTGAAAAGAGATGCAGGCATCCAGCACTTCATCATTCTGTGCTTCAGACTTCATTAACACAGATTCACTCTTTTACTTTGTTTAGAGCTGACTTTAAATCCACAGGGGCTTAATCAAGGAATACCTAGCACAGTTGAAGACACTCAATGATGTGGATGAAGTAACTTTTTGCAGCTTAAATACAGCATAACAGGTTCAGACAAGTAAACAGAATTATTTTCCTCCAGACACACAAGGGGAATGAGAAAGCAATGGTTCAAAGTCACTAAGAGACCTTTATTCTGTTCAAGGAAAATGAGACAATTTCTTTTTGTCGAGATGGCATCCAAACAACTATAGCACTATTTGTCTGAGAGTTACCATGCTTCACTAAAAAGTGAGCACTGCTTTGGTTTTTGACCTGTATCTTTAATGGGAGCTTAAGGGAAAGAAAAAAAAAAGCTAAGACAAACAATCTCATTGTTAAGGTGGCTTGAATGCCAAAGTCTATAACTTCGATGGCAAAACAATCTGCAAGCTGAAAAAGTCTGACTGAAGCAAATCACTTGAAAATCTGAATACAGTATTTTCACCTTTATGAAACAAAAATCATGGCAAACTGAATACTCTATTAGTTCAGGGAAGGAAGCTCCAACTAGTCTATGTAACATACAAACCAGAAAGTTGGATTTGAAAAGCTTAAACGTGCTCTGTTTAAAGGCAAAGAAGGGCTCCGCATCCAACAGCATCGTGCCACTCTAACTCTCAACCTGCCTTCTCTCTTGCTTCATTTGCCCTCTGCTTCCTCGAGTTCATCGCATATTCTCAACAGGACATCATCCATTACAAACTTTGCCCAAAATTAAACATCTCCCAGGTATTCCCAACCAGGTTTGCTACAGGTTTTCAGGGTTGTAGCCCATCTGAGGTTCCTACTCTACCAGATAAAAGTCATCTCAGTTTGCCCCACTGTCAGTCCTGAATTATTGGCTCTTTTTTGGTTTCACTTCACAGATACATTTCCCCAACAAGGCTTCTACAGCTGAACCCATTCAGACCTACAGATGGAGCTGCCAAGACAGAAATTTGTACAACTGTGCAGTTTTCAGATTTGCAAATAAACTGCCTGAACAGCACCAAAGTTGACACTGCTCAACAACCTGGGTAATCATGTTCTTGGTATTGTTTTTCCAAAGTTTCAATCCTTTTCTGAAGAAAAAAAAATCAGTACCAATCCATCAATCTTGAACAACAGCTGCCTGGTTGCTAGATGCCATGAAAAATTACTGAAGCTTTATACTCTAATGAACCAAGGCACTTTACCTACCACCTTTTAAAGCCAATATAAAACCTTCCATTATATTTGCCACTGAATTTCTAAACTTCTTTTCTTTCTCCTCCTGGCTCGCCACTGGAACAACCTGGCACTGACTGACCTACCCCTGAACTGATTCATGTTTCCAAATCACCTGCAGACACAAGCTGAGCTCCAGTGACATGAAATGTGACTGCATGAGGTTCAGCAGTACCCCTAGGCTACTAGGATCACTATCTAGTGACCCAATCCAAAACTGTACCTTGTCACAGACTACAGGCTTTTGTTTCTATAGTGAACACAGCACATTTTAGCATTAGTTTGGCTATTTTCTTCTGCCATGGTCCATCCACGTGAAAAGCACTAACTTTTCCTCCCCTCGTGCAGCCTGTGCAAGTGCTCGTCTATAATGGAAGAGAAAATTCCAAGTTTCCACAATGTTAAGGCCATCCTACTGCAGAATTTGTATTACACACTCCTTTGTGACACCAAATTAAACAGAAAAAGAAGATCCCTTCAGATAAGCCCTACAGAGACCCTGATATGTTTACAAAACCCTAACAGAACCAAAATTGTAATAAAACAGAAATAATGAAGTCACTTAAGCTCCTCTCAGAGAATTTAATGGCAGCAGAGCAAACACACCATCTCTGAGGCACATCTGGCACAGAAGACAACAGCCAGCCTAAAATTTTGCGCTTCTTGGGGGAAGCGTCAAAGAACTGCACATTCCTGTGTGCAGACAGCTAACTTACACTGTACCTTCAGAGGGAGACTCCTACTG